TATCTCTCATATGTAGTGCTTTTAGGTATAAAGGTAAACTGACTGACAAATGAGCGGGAGAACTTTCTCTTTCATATGTAAGAGTTTTAGGTATAAGAATGTAAGCTTGCTAATAATTGAGCGAAAGAGTTTTCTCTCTCAAATTTAGTGTTTTTAGAAATTACAAGATAAGCCTGCTAACAATTGAGCGAGGAATTGACCGAGGAGATAATTTTCCCTCTCATATGTAGTGCTTTTAGGTATCAGAAGATAAACTTGCTAACAATAGAGCGAGATAACTTTCTCTCTCACATGTAGTGTTTTTAGCTATAAGGTAAGATGGCTAACTATTGCGCGGGAGAACTTTCTTTCTCACATGTAAGAGTTTATGTATATATAAGAAGATAATCTTGCTAATAATTGAGCGAGTAAATTTTCTCTCTCATATGTGGTGGTTTAAGACTTGCTAACAATTGAGTGGGGGAGTTGAGGGAAATAATGTTCTCTCTCATATATATGTAGTGATTTTAGGTATTAGAATACAAGCTTCATAACAATTGAGCGGGATAACTTTTTATTTCATGTGTAGGTTTTTTGAATATAAGGTAAGTCGACTGACAATTGAGCGGAATAATTTTTTTCTTATTTGTATTGCTTTTAGATATAAGAAGCTAAGAAGATAAGCTTGCTAACAATCGAGCGAGAAAATTTTCTCTCTCACATGTAGTGCTTTTTAATGTAAGTTAAGATAAGTCAGCTAACAATTGCGCGGAAGAACTCTCTCATATATAGTTCTTTTAAGTATAAGATAAGCCGCTAATAATTGAGCATATGATTTCTCTCTCCCATATAGAGAGTGCTTTTAGGTATAAGGTAAGCCGGTTAACAAATGAACGGAAGAACTTTCTCTCTCACATATAGTACGCTATTTTAAGTACTCCTTCCGTCCCCTAAAACTTTGTCATTTTTCCTCTTTGGGATGTTCCATAAAATTTGTCACTTTCCCTTTTAATCAATTATTCTGTGGTTCCTGTTATTTCTTTCTCCTCTAAACAAAACTTAACCACATAGTTTTTACTTTATTATTCTTTGTGCCGATCAAACTTCGCAAAGTTTTAAGGGACGGAGGTAGTATAAGATAAGCCGGCTAACAATTGAGCGGAAGAATTTTTCTCTTCCTTATGTAGTGCTTTTAGGTATAAGGTAAGCCGACTAACAATTGAACGGGAAAACTTTCTTTCTCATATGTGCCAGTTTAGGTATAAGAAAATAAGATTGCTAATAATTGAGCTAATGAATTTTATCACTCATATGTATTGTTTTTAGGAATCAGAATTAAACTTGCTATCAATTGAACGTGGGAATTGAGGGGGATAATTTTCTCTCTCATATATAGTGCTTTTAGGTATCAGATATAAAAGATAACTTTGCTAACAACTGAGCGGTATAACTTTCTTTATCATATGTAGGTCTTTTAAGTATAAGATACGTTGACTTACAATTGAGCGGAATAATTTTCTCTCTCATTTATATTACTTTTAGGTATAAGAAGATAAAATTCCTAACAATTGAGCGGGATAATTTTTGCTCATATATGTAATGCTTTTTAGTATAAGTTAAGATAAGCCAACTAACAATTGAGCGAAAGAATTTTCTCTCTCTTATATAGTGATTTTAGATACAATATTTTAGATATAAGAAGGATTAAGCTATAACCCATCTAACAATTGAGCGAGAGATGTATCTCTCTCATAAGTGGTGCTTTTAGGTATAAAATAAAGTGATCTAGCTAACAATTGAGAGGGAGCTAGAATTTTATCTATCATATATAGTGATTTTTGGTATAAGACCAGCCGACTAACAAAGAAATAATTTTCTCTCTCATATTTAGTGCTTATAAGTATTAGAAGATAAGCTTGATAATAATTGAACGGAAGAACTTTCTTTCTCAATAGTTCTTTTATGTAATAGATAAGTCGCTAACAATTAAGCAGGACAATTTCTCTCTTTCATACGTAATGCTTTTAGGTATAAGGTAAGCTTGATGATAATTGAGCGGGGGAATACTCATATATGTAGTTCTTTTAAGTATAAGAAGATAAGCCGACTAATAATTAAGCAATATAACTTTTCCTCATATGTAATGTTTTTTGGTATAAGATAAAATCCGGCTAACAATTGAATGTGCGGATTTTCTCTCATATGTTGTTCTTTAAGTATAAGATAAACCGACTAAGAATTGAGCATTATATTTCTCTCTCTCATATGTTAACACTAATTTAACTAATAAGTAACAAGTTCTTATTTAACTAATATTCGTTAATTTTAATATTCATTATAATCACTTATACTTTATGTCCCTCACTTAGTGTATGAATTTTTTTAGAATAGTATTTAATATTAAAATTAATTTAATCATTAAAATTAATAAGTAATAAATTTAAATTAGTAGTGTCAATTAATTTTTCCTAATATACTTTTTGTTGAATGTTTATTATATGGGCTTATACTTTTGGTGTTAGCTTATTGTACTACAAACTTATTTTTATTTAACATTTAATTAGATCATAAGTGAAAATATATGCACCAACTACTATTTCCCGTGCTGCACGGGTACTGTACAAGAAAAAACACGGCAGATATACAAGATGACTGAACAAGTTCCATTGAAATTCTGCGCTTATATTTCAATAAAATGAATGAGTATTTCTGTACAATCATCAGAACCATAGTTCTGGAATTCATGATCCCAGAAACAGAATCACCATTGCTGCACAAATCAGGATTTCCTGCAAAAGACAACAACATATGAACATAACTCATCAGTTCACGAGGCAGAGAGGAAAGAAGAAGAAGAAGAAAAAGACTAAACCGACTCGCAGGAAGAATTCGATCACTTCCAGAGATGGAGAAAGACGTACGTACCGTAGTGGACGAGATCAACGAGGAGGCGGGAGAGACGAGTCCTTTAAACCCATTCTTATACGCGATACTCCCGTCATGTTTAAACAGCCCAAAGTTCCTCTCAGAAGTCGGTCCAGGCTTCAGATTCTCATTGAACAGCGCGAAAATGTAAGCCTTCACCGCAGTCTTCGGCCTGTAAGGTGTCCCCTTCTTCTTCAGCAGCCGTTTCCGCAAATTGTTGTTGTAGATCATGGCGTTCTTCGCATCCGCGCCGGCTTCGTTCCCATCTCCCTGCGAAGCCCATCCCGTTTCCGAGACGATTACTTCCATTTTCGGATACCCTAGCTTCTCCAGAGCGATGTAAGACGCATCGACCATGGCGTCAAACATGTTGTAGTAATGCAGCTTGTTCTTGTCATCATAGATGCCGGAATTTGATTCGAAGAGAGCGTATTTCAGGTTTATGTGATCGGGGTCGTTCTTGTACGCCAGGAAGGGATACGCGTTAATGTAGAAAGGCGATCGGGTCCGAGAGAAGAACTGGAGAAGGGGTTTGAGGAATGGGAGAAGGCTTTCCTTGAATGCACCATCTGAAGGAGGGTAGGTGGTTTCAAACACTGCTTCAGAATGTGGGCTGGAAACTTCAATGCTTTTGGCCAGGTGAAGGGATTGAAGAGCACTGTAAACATTCTTCACTGCTGGGGCTAATGCTTGCCAGAGCTGCATATCGCCGCCGCCTAGAATCTCGTTTCCCACTGCGATTCCGACAATTTTCGTGCTGGGGAAGAACGGCTCCACGTTGTCTTTCACCCATTGGATGGCCTTGTCCTGGCTCGCGCTCATGTCGGTCACAAACTCATTTGGAAGGCCGATAATAATTCTAACTCCTGACCCATTGAAGGCCTTCAAGACCGAGTGATCCGCGTCGTAGAGTCTGATGTTCTTTATCTTGTTTTCCCGGAGTAGAGTGGCAACCTGTTCCGGTGCTGGAATGTTATCAGATATTCTTCCATAGTTTACTCCATATGTCCCCTCCATTGCTCCTCCAACAAATGCTGCAAAAAAGCAAAAACAGACCACTTTAAAGGAATCAATGAGGAATCAGTGTTGGGTGTAACTCAACTCTTAAGAGGTTACAATTGTCCCACTCTTAATTATTAAGTATTTCATATTTAGTCAATTTAAGACATTATCAACATAAAGGTAAGAAAAACAACACAAAAGTTAAGCATACTGTTTGAGAAGGAAAAGGTGAGGAGGAGAAAAGTAGGGATGAGGAAATGCAAATTCATTGTGAAGGTGTCACGAACTAAAATGGCAAGTCAGCTAGTAGTATGAGATGTTAATATATCCAAAAAGGTTTATTCATGACGACCTGCCTATATAAGCAGCTAGGATGCAATTCTTCCTCTGTAGGGTTGCCATAGATCAAAACTGAGAGATTCCAAACCTTTGTGTAGAGACCAAGTGCAAAATGTTGGTGCATTGAGAAACAAACTTTGGGGGTCATATGTTTAGGAAGTTAAGCTAGATTCCAACCTGGTGTAAAAGACAACCTTTGTCTTTATTCTTTTTCTGATGTAAAAGTATACTTTTCTTTTTTCTAATTGGCATTAGTGCTATGCTCTCTATACAGTATTATCTTAACACCATTCCTATAAGTGTATTATCTTGCTTCTTTTAACTTTTTGCTTAGATACATATTTTTTATGATCTAACTAGAGTTTACCTCCAATAACCAGCACAGAAAAATAGCAGACTTCAGAGTTTAGAGCGTGTCTGAATAAAACTAGATCTATTAAGTGAAAAGTTATATTAAAAGTATGGGTAGACAAATCCAATTACGGTCCAAAAAAGGGAAACTATATGTAGAAGTTAGAACTGGTAATACTTTGGTTCAGAGTCATATAGAATTTGATCATACAAGTTCTTTTCCTACCCAAATTCGTAGTCTAATTAAAAATAAAACTGATTCCGAAACTGGCCTTAAAACCAGTTTAGGAAGACGTGACCAGATTGTACCCAGGGACTAGTCTGGTCAGTTCCGTTTGCCCGTAGTTCCAGAACAGGGTGTACAAGACCAAAACTACCAACAGGGCTAGGAAAATCCACAACTATTTGAGACATTTTAAGAGACTGCTTATGTCCATTATTAGTGACAAGTAAAACTACTACAAGAGTTGATACACGTGTCGAAACACAAGTCAGCCTATCACGAAAATAAAAACATCACAGTCATCCATATACTGAGAAACATGAATCCTGAAAACTACACATCTATGACACTCAGTAATTACATACAGTCATCCAAAAAGATGGAAGACAGTGGTACAAAGACACATAAGATGAGAGGTAAACCCTTTCAATCAGCAGCTAATAGGAGCAGGAGAGGGGGCATTTGTGAACCCAGCCTGACTAACTACAACACTATTTTCTATCACTGGTTCTTTCTTCTCATTATCATTATTTTCAGTATCCTCTTCTTTTTCACGTTCATGGCATTCTTTAGTTTCAACTGGAAACTCCTTGCTTGGTAATAATTGGTGTGCCTCCACATATTTAGCCTCAGCAGTTCCCTCATTTTTAGCCTCAGCAGTTCCCTCCTTGGTTTCGTCTTGGCTGATACCATTTTCCTCCAACTTGGCCACCTCTGACTGATTTTCATCTCCAGCCATTGCTTCTTTGCCCGGACTAACCTCTTTTGTTTTTCTATCCTCGTCGTCTTTAGGGCCTGCTTCGAACTGGGATGATTCTAGAAAAATAACATAGGAAGTAAATCAAAAAAGGTGTGCTCAAACTCTTGATAAACTTACTTAATATTTGTTGATATTCATCTTGTTTACTTATGTCTATTATCTCCTTATTTTATAAGACCAAGAAATCTAAATACATGTACAACTTTTTAAAATAATTATATTTCATTTTCTTATTAAGATTTATGATTCTACTTGTAAGAAAATCTGTATTCTCTCTTTGAAACTTAATGGGGTTGGCGTGCTTGCTTGGATACCAATACCATAATAAATCTTGACATTTCGTATGTTTTTACTTGGAATTATTTCAATCCCACACTAGACCAAACTACGATAGTTATCAAATACAAATAGACACATTTACCAAACCACAAAATTTCAGTCCAATTAAAAACATATTCAATCCTAAAACCTTAACTTTATTGCAGAAGTATCATAAGATTTTTATGTGGACTCATATCTTTGAATTTCGCAAGTGTGGGTAAATCAAACATATAAAATAAAATTTTATTTGCTTTCCCTCTGATTTTCCAAAATCTGAACATACCCTTGGACTCAATGGACTCCTCTTTTGGTATTTCATCTTCTTTGTTGTCCACCACTTCCTCCTTAGCGGAGTTTACTTCTCTCTTTCCATCAACATTGGTTTCTTCTTTTGCAGCTTCGACATCTTTCCCTCCTACTTCTTCCTCTGTGTCCTTGATGTCCTTCTTTCTCCCAGAGGAAGTCCGGCGCCGTTTCTTGTGCGTCTCAATCTCTGAAGTCAATGATGGTCTTGACTTGCTCTTTTCAATGATCCTTGTTGACCTCCTAGGAGTTTCCCCAGTACCCCAATCAAACTCAGATGATGCAGGGTTGCCAGGGTGAGATTTCAGATACTGATTTAACTGTCTCTTGTTGTTGATCTCCTCTCCTGTTGGTGCAACAAATAGGACCCTCCCTCCTTCAGTTGGTATGTACTGCACATGAAAAAACATTTAATAAGTACCATCAAGCCTTAAGCAATGGATAGTTTAAAAACATCCTTGGAGAAAAAAAAAGACAAGAAAGAGCAAATTGCTTAGCCATCTTTGATTGGACAAATGCAAAGATACAAATTACACACAAGACTTTCATGGATAAGCACCTACTTTATTATGGTTTGAGAACTTATTAACTCAATATGGTATTAGAACTCATTACAGTCAAACGAGCAATTTGATTTGATCCTATTAAAAATGAAAAATGAACATAAGACTTAGATTGGTCTGTTACAAAAAGTCAAAGTCAAACAAGCATGTTACCCACATGACCACATCCGCCAAATATGGATGACTGCAGAGTACACTAAATTCCCTCAATAACAAAGAAATACTTGTCAACGATTCACCTATTTTCCATCTTTAGCGCCTTCCTTTTATTCTCTACATCTAATGGGGGACCTGAAGGTGGTTTAGGAAGTTATTACTTGGACTGTAATCTGTCCCAGACGAGACTAGACTTGGATAGTTATAAAAATACAAAGAGACCAGACATTACCAGACCAGACTAGATCAGACCAGCAAATTACAGTCCAAATAAAAGCACATGGATAATGGTGGAGAAGGCGTCCATGAATGGCATATGGTAGTACTATGAACGTGATTTCTTTAATTTAATAATAAAATCTGACCATAAAGACATCTGATAATAGCTAGATTAACTTCGCATATGGTGGGCACTAATCAGCTCAATTTCACCAAATGATAGTATGATACTCCGCCATTTTCACACATTTTAAAAACGACAATTTTATTTACAGATGTAATGTCCAAAAGATGACAAATTAGAATTTCACAGGATTTTAATGGCTTTTTAAAATTCCATAGCAATCAACGTTCCTGAATCTGGATTTCAACGGAAGAATCCTCCTACATTTCCATCCCCCTTGACATTTCCATGGATTTTTAAAGTGTTAGATTTCTAAAGATTTGAAAGGATTTAAAGGCATCTAAAGGAAATAATTCTACCAGAAATCTCACCCATCCCCTGGGATTTCAACGGATTTCTTTTGGAGTCAGAGGCGAGCCACCGCCCACCGCTGTGACTCCTGCGAGGCGTGAAGTCGGAGGCGAGGAGCCAGAGGCAGAGGCTTGGATCCGGAGGCGAGGAGCCAAAGGCGGAGGCATGGTTGCTGCGAGTCTTCGACTCTCCAACAGATGCACAACCCCACAGGCCCAGCTCCGTTCCGGCTAATAATTAGGAGGTTTGGACTGTGGAGGAGGACGATCGACTACGATGAGCGGCGGATAGGTGGAGGAGATTGGAAGAGTTTGGACTTCATAGAGAATATCGGTTGTCCAAGGTCAGTGTGGATTTGGGAAACAATTCCACTAGAATCTGATAGATTCTGGGAATTCCATACAATTCCATGAAATCCACAATGCTTTAAAATCCCATAGAATTCTAATTGGGGACACCCCTAAATTCGCCTGTAACTATGTCTAAAGACAAAGGCAAGGTCAATCAGCCCTGATAGGCTGAACCCATAAGCATTAATTAAACAACTAATGAGGAGCTAGCTAACAAGATCGCCATGTAATGATAGGGCAGGGATTGAACAACCGTTCTGATTCGGGCAAGAACAAAATCCTAGTTAATATTAAGGAGTATACTTTCTGTTAACGAGCTTAATATTCTCAGAATAACTACAAAAACACAGTTTGTCTCTTTATTTACTCCCAATTTCATGTTTGAACTTGAAGAAAGTTAAAAAGAGGGAGGAGATGGGAATACCAGTTTCTTCCAGGAAGAGGGTGCGGGAAGCTCCAAAGAGATGAACTCATCTTGATCGTGCACTGCCTTTTCATCAGAAGTCGCCATCTTTCACCCACCTCAAAGCTCTCAGAACTCAAGAAAAATCAACACCCAAACAGGGATGATGATCATAAAAAGTGTTTCTCGCTCTTTCTAACTCAAAAAATCAGGCCTTTCTTAACTTTTAATTATACAGTATTTTCTTTTAATTTATGGGTTAGGTTGACACTGGAAAAAGTAATAATTGCGGAAAAGACTGCACGAAAGCTCGCTCTCACCCAACCCACGCACGCGACAAAACAATGGACAGTTATCCTTTTCGCACGGGAAAAAGCCATTCTACACGTTTCTATGGACTCTGGAGTAGGGGTGGGTCGGAGAAACCGAAAATCGAAAACCGAATCGAAAAAACTTGAACCGCAACTAAAAACTCAAATCGCAAGAAAACCGAAATCGAACTCAAAAAACCGAATCGAACCGTAGTTGTTTGGTTTCGGTTTTGATTTTCACATCTCAAAACCGAACCGAACCGAATAAACCGAACTTTTTAAAACTAGTTATTTTATTTATATAATTCGCAAGATATTGACATTTAATATTTATGGTTTAATTAAGTGAAATACTTGTACATACACTTAAGTATATTGCTATAATATTAATATGTTGATATTTTAAATCGTAATTTACATTTTGTTTGTTGTTGCGGTACAATGATATTTTGTTGATATATTATATGTTATGTATATATGTTTGTTATCACATACTCCGTAGTTTTTTTATACTAGTATTGAACAAATATGTATTAATATAAACTATACTTTAACTAACATAGCGGAAAACGTGAAACTTTATAGCATAAATATCTTTGTCTAAAATTAAAAGTAAGTAAAATAAGTTATTCACTAATAAAATTTTAACTTGCGAATACACCGTATATAATTTTTAAAAAAAATCACACCTTTAATTAATTTAGAAAATGTTTAAATTGGTATATCCGTACTCTCTTATTCATTGCTTGAAAGTGCATTTGTTTCTTTTTTTTATAAATTATGTATGTTTTGTATGGTTAATACTAGTTTGACAATAAAAAAACATTGTGTATTTGTATGTTTCTTAATACTAGTTTGATATAGTTTTTTTTCAATTACTATTTCTCTATTCAGCAAAAATATTTTGGTAAAAACCGAAAAAACCGAAACCGACCCGAAATAAACCGAACCGAACAAACTATGGTTCCAAGTTTTTGAACATAAAACCGAACCGAACCGAACTTTTTACTTTGGTTCGACATTTGGTTTTAGGTGAAAACTTAACCGTTTGAACCGAACTCACCCCTACTCTGGAGAGCTAGGTAGTCCGTACAAGAAATGTATATAGACCAGACCAGACTTGGATAGTTATAAAAGTACAAAGAAATCAGACCAGATCAGACCAGACCAGCAAATTACAATCCAAGTAAAAACATTCTTATACCCCTATAAGATTATTTAGGGATTATTTTGATGATCTGCATGATATTTTTTAAGATTATGGTTGAGATGTTAAGATTATTTGATGAAAAAACTGGAATCAAATTATAAATCTAGATTATTTGAAGATTATTTTCAATTTTTAGACTCATCTCCCAATTTTCTAGGCATATTCATAATTGTAAAATCACATACCAATCAACTACTACTAATTGCAAAATTTGCACTGACAAAATGACACATATTTTGTATATCAATCGGATTTAAAGATATTTTTTTTACAAACATATGATATAAGTAGATATAACGGCGGGTGCATCGAACATCGTTGTTAAGGAGATTGTAAAGCCGTTGAGGAAACCAAGTACCAACACGCGCTTGGAGAAGTGTTTGGCTCAACTGCAGCCGTTGATGTCATGGGAATAGCAAGAGACGAAAATGAACCCTCTCACTCCAAACAAGTGGATCACGTTCTTCAAACTGTTATTAACTGAATTTCAGTGTTTTGCTTCAAGTCCGAGAGAGGCATTATCCAATACTCAGGTTATATTCTGATGAACCGCCATGCCGGATGTACTCGTGTACTGCGGTCGTGAGTTGCACACGTTTCACCCATTCATTTTGCAAAAACATTTAATTTCCTCGACAAAAAGAAAACTTTTTTCTCTTTGGTTTTTGACTCGGTGATTCGTTACTCTCTCTCCGGTATCTCCCACCCCAGAGCTCATATCCGACAGAACGGTAGATGAGTAAGTGCCGATGATTCAGTCGATCCAATAGTGATATGCCTTACAATCGCGCGCACCAAAGATTTAGGATGTTTTCTTTTGGACTGTTTTCAGTCCCAGACCAGACCAGACCAGACTTAAACAGATCAGACCAGACCAGACCAGACTTAAACAGACCAGACCAGACCAGACCAGACTTAAACAGACCAGACCAGACCAGACCAGACTTCCGTAGTTATAAAATACACAGAGACCAGACGTTTACCAGACCAGACCAGACCAGTTCAGACCAGACCAGACCAGACCAGACTTAAACAGACCAGACCAGACCAGACCAGACTTAAACAGACCAGACCAGACCAGACCAGCAAATTTCAGTTCAAAAGAAAACATCCTTAGTCCAGCACCAGTGGCGGATCTAGACATCGAAGGTCAGTGTATGCACATATATATACAGTCGCAGATCCAAAAGTTTTCTAAAGCGGGGCACTACCGGATGGATGCGAATTGGTCGGGTCGGGTCGTATGCAACACTGGTCTTCTTTGTCTAGTCTATACAAATTAATATTTTTAACTGGAATTGATTATTCAATTTTTTATCGATGATACGTATTATCATCCCTGCAGAAAATTAAATCATTTTTATAATTAAAATTTACATATTTGAAAAATACATAGTTCCGTAAAGTCTCAAAGTTCAATTTAAACTATAATAAAAAATTGATTTGTTAGATAAGTAAATAATATGAAACTATATTGATCGTTAAAATTGATTTTGCAAATCATTTTGGGAGAGAGGAAATAGTAAAAACAATTCTTTAATACTCCATCCGTTCTTTAATAACTGTTTCTTATTCCACTTTGATCTGTTTTTTAATACTTGTATTTCTTCCATATTAGGAAAGTTCTTGAGATAAATACACTCACTTTTATTGCTTTTACCCCTTTTATTTATACGGAGTATATACTACTTTCCCATTCCTACTTTATTATCACTTCAATCTTGTTAATATATTCTCTTTCTTACTTTATCATTTTTCCTACTTTATCATCACTTTACTCTTCTTAATATACTCTCTTTCCTACTTTATCATTTACTCTACTCACTCTATAATACCCCTACTATTTTTATCTAAAAACCCACGCACAAGCCTAAAACTCTAAAAGAACAGTTAATTTTTTTTAAAGCTAAAAGAACAGTTAATTAAGAAGGGAAGGAGTAACTATATGATGTAGGAGTTAGGACTGAGTAAGTCTTTAATAATAATACGATTTTAAAAAACATGATGTAGGACAATAGGAGTGAATTAGCTACTTTTGAAAACCTGGGGCGAATAGCGGAATAGCACTTCATATACTAAAAAAATAAAAAGGATGGAGCAATAAGGCAGTGCACTTCAAAAAATATCAAACAAAGGGTGTAGCACTTGAAGGTTTCGAACATCTGACGTGAAGCCAAGGAAGAGTTTTGATATCATCGGTGTTGCCAAATAGGCTAGTAACAATTATTGAGGTGAAGCCAATGCTGACCCTCATTAACACATAGGTCCGCCCCTGTCCAGCACGCAGGAATCCCTCCAATAACATTAAGACATTAGAGGGTGATATATTAAAAAATAGATTTTTGTTGTTGATATTGTATCGATAAAATAATAGTCCATAATAAAATTACTATGAATGATTCGGAACCATAAAACTTTACCAAATTTAATCTTACATGACTTATTGAAAAGGAAAAATGAGAACTAATGAGAACCACAAGGTACCTAAGTTTAAATTTATAATTATTCTACAAGATGTACTTTAATACGTCTCAATGTATTTTGATGTAAAGCTTAACCAAGCATTCCAGCCCAGCTGGTTGTGAGGTTACCGTACTTAGCGAGAGGTCTCAAGTTCAAAACCTGCTAGGCACATAAGGGTTTGAAACTCAATGGAGTGAGTTTCAGCCCTGATTACTCCAGGCTCCCCTCCAACCCCAGACCCCCCCCCCCCCCCAGAGTAAAAACAAAGTAAAACTTACCATTCGAAGAGTCCTTATATCATACATCCGGGTGTATGTACACCCGACCCAACTGAAGAAGACAACTCAATAACTAATACATGTCATTTTTTCGGTGGCATTTTTGTAATTTAAGCGAAAAACCATGACTTCCGATAAATGAGCAATAGCTTACTTTTAGTGAGCATCTGGCCTATTGTAATATGATACTTTTGAAATATGTATTGATATGACATTTTAAAAATGAGCATAACATCAGTACTAAATAAACCTACATAACTTACAAAACACACATTGATATGAAAATCGTAAGGTTTGTTAGTTGAATATCACAACATTTTAATTGAGCTTCAAACCTCCGCTATTGAGATAAAAATCACGATTTCCAGTGAATGAGCATTAATGAACTTTTAATGAGCATCTGACCTATCATGTCGAGTAGTAGGAGTCTAATATTCAAATTCGTGATCTCTGCTTCATAACTTCTAATTCACTTTCTTTTTATTATTATTTATTTTATAACAACTTATTAAATTATATTTATAATCAACTCCTATGCATTTCAATATGGAAATCTAATGTAAAATAGTACTTAAAAAATATAGATTGATATGACATTTAGAAAATGAACATAAGATCATTACAGGGTGAGCATACGTAACTTACAAAATGCGCATTGATATGAAAATCGTAAGGTTTGTTAGTTGAACATCATGACATTTTCATTGAGCATCAAACCTCCTCTATTGAGATCGACGGAAATCACGAGTTCTGTTAAAAAAGCACTAATGTATTTTTAATGAGCATTAGGCATATACAAATGAGCATATGTAACTTACAAGATGAGCATTGATATGATAATTGTGAGTTTGGTTCGTTAAGCATCAAGACATTTTCAGTGAGCATCAAAACTCCGTTATTGAGTACTAGAATCGTGCAATTGAGTATCATGATTTGTGGTCTCATGTCTATAATCAACTTGTATGTAAATCTAATGTAATATGAGACTTTTGAAATATGCATTGATATAACATTTTAAAATGAGCATAACCGAGGTACAAAATGGACATACATAACTTACAAAGTGAGTTTTCAAAAATTCAAAAGCTCATTTGTGTATGTTCATTCTATTTGGGCGTTTTTCTCATTTGAGTTGAAAATAAAACTCATTTCTAATGTGTTTAGTATTAATATATAAAGCTGAACATTCAATTAATTGAACCATTAAAGTTGTGAGTTAATAGGGAAAAAGGAGAAAGTTGCAGGCTCTGAAAAACGCAACAGTTGCGGAGGATATTTTTAGCAACAGAAGAAGAGGCATTTTTGGAGCTCCGGTGTGTGGCGTAGCAGAGGAAATTGAGTTATCCAGAGCTCCGATGTGTGGCGTAACAGAGGAGTCGAGTTATCCAAAGCTGCCGCAGAGCCCGCCGGTTCAGCTTCTCCACCTACCAGCTTCGGCGATTCTATGCGGATGAGTAAGCGAGGAAGATGATCGGCGCGATTCTATGCGGATAACTGAGCGAGGAAGATGATCGACGTGATTTTATGCGGATGACTGAGCGAGGAAGATGATCGGCAATTCAGAGGTTAGGGATGATAGAATTATTAATTGAAAGGCTTAAAGTTGATAAATATTACAAAAAAAAACGGGTGTATATGTACACTCAAGTGTATGATATAAATTGCCCGATTCCAACTAGTATGGGAATGTTTTGAACAAAGTGTACTTTTTTATTACTCTCATGCTCTATTAATTACTCTGTAGTTTATAATGCGTATATTACTCTATTATTCGTCAGAGTTCTATATTTTTTATCAAAAAGTCAAAGATGACAACTTTTTGTGAGAGCAGGGCACTGGGAAAATAATTAAGGGGTTATTTTCTAATTATTACTATATTAAGACTGATTTTAAAAAATGTGTCCACTTTACATTTGGTCAAAATGTGATAATGCGTATATTACTCTATTATTCGCCAGCATTCTATATTTTTTATCAAAAAGTCAAAGACGACAACTTTTTGTGAGAGCAGGGCACTGGGAAAATAATTAAGGGGTTATTTTCTAATTATCACTAAATTAAGGCTGATTTTCAAAAATGTGATTAAAATAAAGTGACAACCAAATATCCATGTCATTGCCGCATTTTCATGTCATTGCCGCTATCGCCCGTGTCACTGTTTGCGCCATCGCCGCGTCAGTTCCGCCGCCATCGCTCGGGTCACTGCCGCCGCCGCCGATCACAGACTCACAGTGACACCGCAATAGTGACACCACCACAGTGACACCGCCACATACCAAAGTGACACCGCCACAGTGACACCGTCGCCGGCACGACCCAATTACCGTCGTTGCACCGCTTCATCCAGCCCCACGCCCCAGCACCCCAAACCCATTGACCACCACTCCAAACCCATTCCACCAGCCCAGGTGTCCACCGCCCCCGCCTGCACTCTCCCCAGCTAGCCCCTCCCCCATCACAGCCCCATCCCCAACACTGGCGACCATCACCAGGCATTGGCATCCACCACCTCCGGCCACCATTGACGACCACTACCTCCGACCACCACACCCCATCCCCCAGCAAGCATCCCCCAGCCCCCACAACCCCCTCCAACCTCCATTGCCACCTCTCCATCCACCAAGCCCCCTCCCCAGCCCCCAGCCCCCTCCTCAGCCACTCAGCCCCCTCCCCATCCCCCCAGCCCGACCGCTAGCTCCAGCATCCCATCTCCCCAATCTCATCTTCTCTACCCATGTCACCCAAATCCCGAACCACCGTTGCTCCGCCACTCCCCAGCCGCTGCAACATTAACGTAGATCTGGAAAGCAAGAAGCGGAGCAGGTCTATGCAAAGGTCGAGACCAGATGGCTTCAAGCTTTTGTATCTTCAAATCGGAGTCGTCGCTCATTGAGGAAGGCAGGTTCGGAACGGCGCCAACAAATTTGAGATGTCGTCCAGTAGATCTGGAAAGCAAGAAGCGGAGCAGGTCTATGCAAAGGTCAAGGACAACGGAGAAGTTAACGATGTTGCTGCCTGCGACGAAGCTTAAGGCGAAGGTTTAAGATCCTACCATCAGAGGAGATAGATTGCACCAGAAGTGGGTGGATGTTGCGCGATGAAGGCGAAGGTAGTGCTGGACTCGGGCCGGGCGGCCCGGCCCGGTTACTGTTTGGCCCGGCCCGGCCCGGGGCCCGATGGGTCCACCGGTTCGGTTCGGCCCGGCCCGGCTGCTGGGCGGTTCGGGCCCGGGCCCAGGTTTTGGTGAACCGGCCCGGCCGGTTCGGGCCCGGTCCGGGCCGGATTTTAATTTTTTTTTTTTTTGAAATTTTTTTAAGTTTTAGGTTGGATTAGGTATTTTGGGCCATTTGAGGTGGTTTGGGATGGTTTGGGGTTGAGGGGTAGGGGTAGGGGATTAAATAGGAGAACAAAAAAAAAAATTAATTGGGCCGGTTCGACCTGGCCCGGCCCGGCCCGGTTTGGCCCGGAACCGGGACCGGAACCGGCCACCGGCGGTTCGGGCTCGGGCCTCCCTTTCCTGGCCCAAGGCCCGGCCGGGCCCAGGCCCGAACTGGCCCGAGTCCAACACTAGGCGAAGGGCAGAGGAGATCAGGGGTGGAGCCAGGGCACTGGGCCGGACCGGGCAGATACAAAGAATAATTTTGGAAAAAATATTACACGAAATTTTTTATACTAAAAATTTAGACATTTTTAAAATTTGGACTGAGCCAGGGCCAGGGTTGGCTCTCTCCTAGCTCCGCCCCGGGAGGAGATAGGATGAAGGCTGCAAGAGATAAAATGAAGGCTGCAAGGTGGTTGCAAGGTAGATTGCGGAAGAGATAAGGTTGAAAGCGGAAAGTTAGTGTTAAAAAGCGGAAGAGCACCGTCACATTTGTGTCATTTTTAATAGTGATCATATTTTTGTCCAATACAAGTTGGGAAGTAATATTGATGTCATTCTTTCAATAACTAAAAGAATAATTGGCATGTTTTGAAAAATATCATGGGCCAGTCGTTCAAGATTAAATTTTAAAGCTACAATTTTTTCTCTAAAAAATACCAAACACTCTAATTTAAGCATTTAACAATATCGATCATGTACACAGTAAAAACTCAACCCATACCGATCATGTACTTCGTAAAAAATATAATACCAAAAAATGAAAACAAAAGGTTGAGAATATATATATCCATGTCTTAACAAGTTTACTTAAAATAGAAAAGAATAATTTCTGTTGTGATGTATCAATCCTTCAAAAGAAATATTGTTGTACTATTGTAAAGAAACGAGTCAAACACACAATTGTCACACTATTCAATGATCCGTAAGTTCCGAGTCAAATGTTCAAACAACTCTACCATAATTGCAACTTCAGTATAAATTTTGTTATCAATTTCATCGTACAAATTTGTTAGTGAATCAAGTCATACACCACTAGTAGTAGAATATGAGCTGAGGGTCAAAAGTAAGTTCGGCACTGACCTCATGCAGTATCTATCAAATGGAACAAAACAAATGATTCATATGGAACCCAAGAACTACAGCTTTTTACTGCAGTCCTTGTACGGAGTATTTAAATAGAGTCTATAATATACGGAGTAAAAAGAAGACCAGTTCAGTAGCAGAATTCTGAATGTGTACAGACGAAATGCACTCCCGTTCAGAAAGAGCTGATCACCTATTGGCCATGAATCAGACAAACTTAGATTACATCAGCTCAGTCATACATTCCATCCTGGCCCCAAATATCCACAAGGAAATCTACCATTTCCTGCAAGTTTGAAACACGATACATGTTCATCACAAGAGGATTTATTCGTTTCTATGAACATATCCATACACAGTATACATGTGAAAACAACCCAATGCAATAACTCAAGAGTTGGCAAGGAAATGATCGGACCCATCTAAAATGATTACTTTCAAAGACGCTTTCAAAAATATGAATTCATTATCATCTGCTAGTCATTTAGATTACTTTTATTTAATTTACACATGTTTGATAAACTCATAAACATGTTATTCTATTAAGGAAAAAATAGAATATGTTCCGTGAACGGTTTGTATATATTAAGGAAAAAATAGAGAAAAACGCCTCATAGTAGGTAAATATCATAGACTTACACCAAGAGGAATAGGTTCCGTGAACGGTTTGTTGCTTCCAAGCAAACTATCATATGTTGAATTCCAGCTGCAAGGCAAAAAGTTTCTTAGGAATTTGCAACCCTATGATTAGTTAAGGATAAAAGCTGCAAGAAAATGCCAGCAGCTTAAACGTCTCAAGAGAATTCTGTAGCACCGCAGGGTCAGGGATAAAAACATAATACCAAATTACCAACCTAGGCTATGAACAATGCTATCTCAAATATCACACAGGCGCACTTCTTACTTTAATTTGGGCTCCGACGGCTGCTGTGACTGGTTTTGCGGCTTTTTACTTCCTACCCAATGCTGTCTAATTTGGTTCCATAATATAAGTCCTGCGAACAAGAAAAATTCCATACAATAACTCAACTGTAACTCAAGAAGTGAACAGGTCTGATAGGCAACCTTCAAATGTAACATCACACTAAACAACTGAGGCCTGTGCTGTACTCAATGACATAATAGTTTGAAAAGCGACCTGAATGTCAGAACATGCTCAAACACCACACACACACATGAAAAATGATAATTCATCATGTGCATCGAAATTGGGCGTGTGCATACGGCCATACAATAATATAAGGTTGGGTTGAAGTGAAAACACACACTTATATGAAAGATGAGGATTCATCGTGTCCACTGAAATTGGGAATCGAAACAGTATGCACTTGGTGCACATAATCAGGTGGACTTCATAACATCAAGTTATACCCAACCCGTTTATTAAATGCTCATAAATAGTAATAGCATCTAACCACTCATTATATTGATATGTCTAGCTCAGATGCATTCATAGATAGTATTTTCCATAGGATAGATATTTTTTTATTTCAGTACGCTCACACACACATCTATCTATACATATACACACGCACACACACACATACAAATACATATGAAGACATATATGTATATGCATATATGTGTAACTGTGTATGCATGTCTGCAGTAACGTAGCCAGGGTGCATACCCCCACTACACCTATATGTGTATGCACTTTTTAGTAGAACTTTGATCCACACGAATATTCACCGCATACATTAAATGAACCCCAAATGAATGAATCATAAACATTTTATTTTAAATCTAAGGTCTTCGGTACAGTCCACATATGTGTGTGTGTGTGCTTGTGTATCATCATTACATTACATATGTAATTAAATCCAAAAGAAAAACAATTTACCATGATTTACAAACTCAGAAGGGGCGTTTATACTTCCACTGCCGTGAGCATCATGTGCTTGGGTTGAAGTACTAATAGAGGATATGCTTCCACGTGATTGAATGGTGTTCCCATCCATATCTCGTGCGCTTGTAGTCCAGAAATCTTCTGATATGCTGCTAGGTACTGGCTCTCTGTAATATTTTGTTTTCTGCCTTCTCGGTGTATGGTTGAAGGATGAAATCAAATTAGCGTTGTTATCACATCCAAGACAACCACTGCTCTGTTACAAATGGGATTGGGTTCTGTAAGAATCTATTCTAGTACACTGAAAAATATTGCAGTGATAGTAGCATGAACTCCTCTAGTTAGATAACAGCTAGCGCTTTCACATAATTCAAATATATCAGAGTGCAATAATAAGTTATGGAATATTTTATATTACTTACATTAAAAATGATTGGCGCAATGAAATTATGAAAATAATTAGTTAAGCCCCTACATCTTTTTTTCTCCTTTAAAGAACAATTCTTGTCACAAAAACTAAGAGCAAGAATATCATAGGCAGTGCAGACTGATGGAAACTTATTTGTGTTGCCACATAGGATCAGCCACACCATAGTTATACTTGAACTCAACCACACTGCAAATAGAACCATTAAAGCTTCACCATTTTACCAACTGGAGCCTCAGTTAATTTGATGTTTCTCATTACTGCAATGCCTTGTGTATATGAAAACATGGTGTGGTGAAACTAACTAATAGTAATGTATTAATACATTTTAAGATCAACCCTTATAGCAGGGTGCACTTAAAGAAGAAGAGAAATGTGCACACCCTCAGTTGTAACCCTTTCCTTCTACCACAATCTAAACCAGGAACGAAATTACTATTTCTGTTTATATCAGCCAGAGTTATTAAATTACCAAGAGTTATTATATTTAAACCCTTTCCTTCTACACAAGAGTTATTATATTTACCTATGAATCCATTCATCATAATTTGCATATGCCTTGACAAACATGAATTGATGTCCAAGTCTCCAAGATATCATGATTAGAGGGAATGAGTCAAGAACTTGTATATTTAAATTTATATCTTAAATTCTTAATAATAAGTTAGGATTTTATTTTACAAAGTTATTCTTTGGCTAGTGTAATACAAATTAGCAATTCTGGCCCAATCTGCCATTCTATGTAAAACAATTGATTCTCCAACAACTGAGTAATGAAGCTGACAAGATCAAAGTGTTAAATTGGGGACAGGTAGCATATATACTAACATCTATAGGGAGTTAGGGACCAGAATTATTGTTCCAAAGATATGTCTGTGAATGCATGGCTTCATTGCCAGCTTTGAACTGAGAGCTTATCCAAAATTTGAGCAATTTATCATAAAAAACGATCCGTTTGAGGAAAAGAGTTTAAATCGAGACGAATTCCAATAAATCCTAAAAGCGATAATGACGCAAAATAAAAACACAAATGACATACCCCATGGCTGCGGCGGCGATACAGAGAGACCAAGCAGCAATAGATTCGACGGGAGCAGCGTTGCCCCAATAACCGCCGATTCCAGGAAGATCTCACGCGTCTTCAGAAATCCCTGCGAATTTGATGGATACAAAATCGGATTCAATCACGATTCGATCAACGCATACAAAATCATAGAATTCGATGATAAAGGATTAGAGGAAAACCCGAGAGAGAAAGGAATTGCGGCCCTTCTCCCTCTCCGTCTGGGCGAAGCACTTCCGAAATCGATGTTTCTCCAAGCCGAGAGTCAATGCACGGTTCTTCTCCTGTGCCGCTAATAAGACGCAGAAGAAGAAGACAAGCAGCCAGCTTCAAAACATTGACATTGCATGCCCGTACTCCGCTCAATAATAATCCACGTGATTTTTTTTTTTTACGATTAATTAGAGTAATTCTACAATGAATAATCCCATTTTTCGTAGTGGATAGGGTTGGAAATAAATGCAGCTCACATGAGAAAACGAGAAATTCCAATTGCACTGAACCGGTGGAGCTGTGGATTGGATCCTGGCCGGTTTTATGTTATAGAAATTGTCCTGAGTATACTCTATACAGTGTTATGAAATGGATAGGAAATACTTGATGTTATTAAATATTAAGAGTCTTGCTTGGGTACCCCAATTTGTACACCGTCTGTGTACACAGACATTTGGACAGAAAGTCCTACCCTCTTTCAAACGAATTGCCTGTGTACACAGACAATTCAAGGGGTGGGTACAAAATGGGGTACATTTTGGGGTACCTATATAATTTTTGAAATATTAATGGTGTTGAGGTGTCTTTACATCGAAACAGAATACTCATGTTTATAGAATAAAATAGAGAGCAGTATTCTATGTACAGTTGGTGATAAAGATGTTATTAATGGTGTTACAGAGATGTCTTTACAATGAAGTAGAATACTCATGTTCACAAAAGAAATAATGATTTTCTTTAGATCATGGACTAATTGTGAGACATACAATTACCATCTAGAAATCATGAATAATTAGAAAATGATAATGTTTTCTTGATGATGAATAGTTAGAAGATGACTTATTTATATTGATAATGATGATAATTTTTTCTTAATCATAAATTGTTAGAAGATGACTAATTCATGTATATTTTAACACCCCCTTAAATGGTCATCTTCTAATTATTTTGGGGTATTAGTTGCCTCGTTACTATTGTTTCCACAATGTGATGAAATTCATAGTTAGGGAAAAAGAGGACAACAATTGACGTCATAGAATTATTATGTACTGTCTCGTTAAAATCCATATCAGGGAAACCCCAGTGAAATAAAAGCTCAAACGAAGAAAAAAGGAGTGCAGTGCATTATAATACACCCCTTCAATTTAACATGTATCTCGAAGATGAAACATTACAATTTTGTGGACCAGTTCTTCAAATTTCTTTGTGGCCAGTGATTTTGTGAATAAACCAGTAGGGTTGTTGCACGACTTGATTTGTTTGACATCAAATGTTCCTTCTTTCTCAAGATCATGTGTGGAGAAGAGTTTGGTGCTATATGCTTTGTTCTGTCCCATTTGATGTAACCTCCTTTGATTTGGGCTATATATGTCGTTTTATTGTCTTCATAAATCACAGTAGGATCATTTGTAAAAGATTTTATACCACATCCATTTTGTATGTGATGAATCATTAATCTCAATCTAACACACCTTAGGCATGCTTCATAAAGAGCAATTGATTTTGCATGATTTGATGATGTGGCAGTTATGCGTTTGCTTCATTGATCTCCACGAGATAGCGACATCATCATATGTGAATAAAAATAGTTTGTTTGTGATTTTGGCTTGTGTGGACCAGACAAGTATCTTGCATCGGCATAGTGAATTAATGTGGCATTTGCACAACAACAACAACAACATCTAAGTCTTAGTCCCAAACGATATTGGGGTCGGCTAACATGAATCGATACATGATATCACCAAAAGGAAAAGAAAGAAAAAAAGATAAAAAAGATAAGCTATTATAAAAAAAAGATAATATAAAAGAGATAAATATACATATAAAAGATAAAATAAAAAGGATAAAGTAATATTTAATATAAGGATAAAAATATATAAATAAAGGGGGGGGGGGGGGGAGATGATACAAGATCACTCCTCCACACGAATACCCGCCCTCCATTTTGCTCTCTCCAAAATCATACCCTCATCCAATCCAAGAAGAAGCATATCCCTTTTGACTCCCCTAACCCACGTCTGTTTGGGCATTCCTCTCCCTCTCTTCTTTGCCTCTTCTCCACACATCTCAACTCGTCTGACAGGTGCATCACTCGGTCTTCTATGCACATGACCAAACCACCGTAGGCACGACTCCCGCATCTTATCTTTAATAGGTGTTATACCCACCATTTGTCTGATTGTCTCATTCCTCACGCGGTCCTTTCTAGTATGCCCACACATCCAACGCAGCATGCGCATCGCTGCCACACTCATCTTTTGAATGTGACATTGTTTCACAACCCAACACTCCGTGTCATACAGTAATGCATGCCTAATTGTTGTCCTATAAAATTTACCCTCCAGTCTAGTCGGCATACCTCGATCGCATAGAAATCCTGACGCACTGTTCCATTTCATCCACCATGTTCTGATTCTATGGGATACATCTCCATCTAACTCACCGTCCTTCTGAATTATGGAGCCCAAGTAACAGAACATATCGCTGACCGGTATCTCCTTACCATCTAAAGTAATTCCGCTATTACCACTGTTTCTACCTCCACCAAACTTGCACTCCATGTATTCTGTCTTGCTCCTACTTAGTCTGAAACTCTTGTTCTCCAATGTTTGTCGTCATTCCAACTTTGCTTTAACCCCTGATTGCGTCTCATCAATCAATACAATATCGTCGGTAAACATCATGCACCACAGTATATCGTCTTGAATTGACTTTGTAAGTTCATCCATGACTATGACAAATAAAAAAAAGGCTCAGAGCCGATCCTTGGTGCACTCCGATAGTAATAGGGAACTCCGCAGTCCTCCCTACACTAGTACGGACACTTGTAGTACAATCCTCATACATATCCATGATTCTCTGAGACCAGACATAGCCTCAGTTGTTGAGCGCCTCAGTTGTGGCATTTGCACCATTCTTATAATACAATCCAAGACCGATTATGCCATTGAGATAGCAGAATATATGTTTGACGTCATTCCAATATCTTCTTATCGGGGAAGAGTTGTACATGGCATTTGACAAAAAAAATTGGGCAACAAGTCGGATTTTTTATGTAATGATTTCATTTTTATGGTTGCATTTACGCACAAAAACGCATTTCAAACTCACGGGTTTTACGTCATTTGGCGTACGGACTTTTGGTCCATAAACATTACGCTTTTCTAGTTATTCTAATTCTGCTTGAATTGCTTCATTCCATTTTGGCCAATCATTTCTGCAAAGACATTCATCAATAGATTTAGGCTCATTGTCATCGTGTTCATTCATTATATCTGTGACAATGGCATATGAAAATATATCATTAACATCAATGTCTTTTCTATTTCATTGTATTCCATTAGAAACATAATTAATTGAAATTTCAAAATTATTGATATTTCTATCTTTATTTGGAATATTTACCTCTTCAATGGTGATTGTATCCTCTTTTGAGTATCATTATTATTGCCGTCATCTTCAAAGCCAATATTTTCAAAATGTTCATTTTCACAAACTACATCTTACTTTTTAAATTTTGTTGGTTTCAAATCTCTTGAACCAAGTGTTCTACCACGTTTTTTACGCATCATAGACTCATGAGCAAGAGTTCTTTCACTGATCTCCGCAGGAATAATTTCTATTCGAAGAGTATTTATAGAAGAAATATGTGACTTTGTCACATTCTTTGAGTCTGTGGAAGCATGAGAAGGTTTACAATATTTTGTAAATGAATAATCTTTTGAATTTCTACTTTACATCCATTGGTGTGTGAATCAGGATAAGATAAATTTGTTGCATTTCAAGTAATTTCTTTCGTACGTGGGTCAATTTCTCTATTATCTCCCCCTACGGCTGAGAGTATTGTCTCATTGAAATGACAATCATTGAACCGTGCAGTGAATGAATCACCAGCCATAGGCTTTAGATAGCTTATAATTGATTTACCGGTATAAACTCTCATCTTTCTTTGAGGACCCACTTTAGTACGATAAGGTGGAGCAATTGGCACATACGCAACACAAACAAATATTTTTATGTATGATATATTTGGTTCTTTAACAGATACCAATTGCAATGAGAAATATATATGATATGCAGTTGGCCTAAGCCGAATTAAATATGCAACATGCAATATAACATATTCCCATGCAGATGATGGTAATATGGATTCATCAACAATAGTCTAGCAATTAATTGTAATCGCTTAATTAAAGATTCAGCAAGACCATTTTGTGTATGCACATGTGGAACTAGATGTTCTACATCAATCCCAATTGACATGCAAATTCTCCTTCATTATCAAGTCAGATTTTCTTTATTGAACAATCCAAAAATTGTGATCTCAAACGTATAATTTGAACAAGATGATCTTAAAATGTAAAATTTCTAATCGATAAAAGACTAAAGTGTGACCAACGTGTTGATGCATCAATGAGCACCATAAAGTATCGAAAGAGTCCACACGGAGGGCAACTAGCCCACAAATATATCCTTGAATTCTTTCTAAAACTGTAGGAGATTCAACTCCAATTTTATATAAATATGGCCTGATAATTAATTTTCCAAGAGAACAGATAGTGCAAGAAAAACCACTTGATTGTGGAATCTTGGCACTATTTAATGAATGTCCAAGTGAATTTTCAATAAATTTGTGCATCATAGTGTTTTCTGGATGACCTAAACGGTCATGCCAGAAGATAAAAAAATGTGGTCATTAATATTAGACACCACATTTATCTCAATTAGGTTGATATATGTATAATACAGCCTCGAGGAATATGCTGACATTTTTTCAGCAATTGTTTATTGCCAGATCTATTTGTCGTTAGACATAAATATTCTTTTTAATTTTCAGACATGGTTTCAATATGAAAAACCATTTAGACGCGTATCTTTAATTTTTTTAACCCCCGGAAGGCCAACCACCAAAATCAGTGGGGTCACCAGAGTTTTATTAAAAATTGAAGAAGTACAAACAGAGAGGGGGACCAGACCAAAACCTCTCAACAATGTCACAATCAATAACAAAATAAAGAAATGATTTAAAATCTAAGAGAAGGGATCTCAAAAAGATCCATAAAATAAGCACGACGGGCCGAAATGGGCAAAGTTCCCAAGGTAGAATAAGAATTTTCCTGG